ATAGGAACAAGCTTAAAACACACACAGGGACCATGGGGAACAAAAGTAGCCACCCTCCAGAAGGAAGGACAGTGTCAGCATGAATCCAGTGATAATTTGAGGATATACAGTTGAGTGAACATCGGAATGGTTCGAACAGAAGTAAGTCTATTCTTAGTGTTAGTTAGTCTATCAGTCTATTTATTGCTATCTGTAAATTCATTAGGGAGATTTCTCTACATTTTAAAATAATCTTTTAACCTGCCAGCTGTACTGGCACATTGGGGCCATCCCCCTCTGTCTGCCCATCCAGGGGCATGGTTCATGTAGCTGGGTGTCCATATTGGGCATGGTGTCATCTGCAGTAGTGGCATTCTCCTGATAGGGGCACATAAGAGGTGAGGTGCAGGTGCCGGATGGACATGGTGGACTGGTTCAGATTGCAGACCCCAAAAGAGGTGGACACAAACTGGGCATTTCGGAGGTAAGAACTGTAAAAGGGAATATATATGCTGTTTATTAACTTTTGGGACCATCACAATTTTAATTGTTGTGGCTTTCTCCCTCTGTCTTTGGTTTGTAGGTGGGGAGGTGAATAGACCTATGCATCAGACACTTAAATATAAATGTGGAAACTGTACATTTGATCCATTGTCCAGGAATTGGTTCCCTTATTCTGCTAGGATTTAATCCAACATGGAATTACACTATTGTATTGAATATACTGCCATCTGCTGGTACTCTTAGGCTGAGTTATAAATTATAAATTATACGTTATAAATTATTTTGTATTACTTTATTTATTTAAACCAGTTAATAGTTATTGAGTGATATATTCTAAGGTCAATTTCTAACTTTAGAAAGGCATGGCTTTGCCTTTGTTAGACTCTATACTCTGGCAGAACAATTTCTCAACTGGGACCAAGTGTTTTGATCCTCCCCACACTTCAGGAATCGTTACATTTAAATACACGTAAAACTACAAATATATGGGTCTTCATGAGATCATTCCCCTACAGGTAGTGCAATACTCTTTATATAGTTACTAATTAGGTGTTGTCTATATGGTACTGAAATTGACCTATATAATATTACTTTAGAATGGGTCACATGACATGGTCTGCTGGGCAGTGGTTTTCATTATCTGTGTGCCCCTATATGGGCCATCTAAATGATAGTATGGCAGCTTGACATTAATAAACGCATGAAGTATTTATATCTATTTGTTTTGAATAATATATGTATGCAATGGTAACAATAGGTTTATTTACAAAGCTGCCAAAGGCAACGAGGTTCGGCTATTCACTCCGGCTCTGTACGGCTGCCTTCGGTCAGACGAACATGCTCTGCATATTCGGCTGAGCCAAAGTGCAGAGGGGCTTTGACTCAGCTAATCCAACATCTGGATCAGCTGTGGCGAAGCTCTGGTAGCTCACCAGCTGCCGTTCGCCCCTATTCTCAACGGCAGTGAGTGAATAGCATTCGCTTTGGCTATTCTGCTCAGTACCTCCGTAAAAATGATCCAAAATAGGACAATTCAAAAAAAAGAAAACCAAGTGGGCGGAGCCAGCAGTGAAAGCTAGCTCTGCCCAACTGTTTCCTATTGGCCGGCACCTGCTAGAGTCTTCTAGCAGGTGCCAGCCAATGAATAACAACTGGGTGGAGCCGGCAGTGATGCAAGGTCCTTTGGGGATGCTGATCTGTCATTACAACTGGGTGGAGCCAGCTGTGAGATCACTGCTGGCTCCGCCCAGCTCTCTTTTGCGGGGAGAACGGCCGGCCTGCTTCGGCTGTAACTTCGGCTCAGTTGGCCGCTCAGCCGCCTTTGGCTGTTGTACGAGCTATTTTGAATAGCCTGTACAAAAGCCCTTTGCTTCAACTGAACCGAAGGGCTCCGGCAGCCGAAGAGAGGCGAATGATCAGCCGAAACTACGGCTGTATCCTTCGGCTCAATAGTGAATAACCCCCACAGTATATGATGGATATAAGTCATCCTTATAAGATTTTTAAGATGTAACATTGGTGCTGTACTTATTGTCGGTAGGCAGTGTTTTAGGTGGGGTTTAATAATATAGAGGACTTTGCTAATGCTTTAACATCCGTCGCTGGATCTGTTTCTAAATGGAGAATGTTAAATATGTGGTTTTAGTTGTAGTATGAACAAAGTATTTTAAAATTTGTTTTATTTATATGTATGCATCCTTGGGGATCGAAAGAGTCCATCTTGCTGCACATTTTTTTTGTATATAGATTTGGTATATAGAGAGAAGGATAATGCTGAGTGAAAAAACTTGTTAATATAAATTTATTTTTTACATTTTAAGAAGTTTGCTTATATCTATACTTTCCGATGCTATTTTTTAGAGTCACATTTTAAATCTTATTTGAACATCACTGACACCTATTATGCAAATGTGAAAATCTCATATAATATGAAGCTGTGATTTTAGAAGGAACAACACTGCAATATGTTCACATTTCATTACCATAAGCCAGACAGGTGCAAAACATCTCTTTCTTATGGCTGCTTGGGAATTTGATACCCTGTCAATACTAAATACAAAAACATATGAATTGTTTGTTACTGAAGTAAGTTCAACTCCGTTATGCATGATATGTTCTTATCAATCTAAGCTTCTAAGAACAGCCCAACACAGTTTATGAGACATACTCTATTGGATTCATTTTATTCCATTTCTTTATGCCTTATTTGTTACTAAAACCAGAACACACTTTCATCATCATTACGGAAACAACAGTCACTGGTGTGCAATCAAAATTCCCCAGAGGCACAACCGGCTGTTGAAATTATGATGTGTTTTAAAGTCAGTATGGTTGGGAATTGAAGAATTCTCAGCAGAGAAAGGCAGTCATTTCAGTTAAGTTAAGGTTCATATATAACTTGTGTAAATGAGCTATTTTCTTTCACCGTAAAATAAAATGACCAAATATAAAACAGTTACTAATTTAACCTGGGACATTTTTATTTGTTATTCCCCTTATGAACACTTAAGAACATATGCAACTTATACTGCTGTCAAGGAATATATTTGTGTTTGAACATTCATTAACATATGCCATTGTAATATGTATAAAACGTGTTAAAAATACTTAATAGTTTAATTAGTTAAAACTTGCTTTTTTATTATTAAAGACCTTGTATATATAAGGTAAGTCCTGTAAAACCTTATGTAAGTATTAAGGGCAAGTGTTGACAGCGGCCACTGTTAAGAGCATAACAATTGTTACACTCTTCATTCAGAAAAAAAACATAACAATATTGTTTTGTTGTATTTTGTTGTAGTTCTTTAAAGCAGATTAAAATCTTTTTCCTGGCCATATCCATGGCAGCGCTGACCATTGGGTTTTAGCTCCAATTACCCCTAGATGACAGGAACCAAAAGGGTTAAACAAGGCCTAACCCTCTCCATAAAAGCCCCTCCTCCTGACGGCTTCCCCAGTCTTTTTTGTTCCTGTCGCCCCTAGGACAGGGTTATACACTAGTTGCTAGGAATAGGGATACATATAGTTCTGGATGGCCTCGGGGGAGTTCAGCCTCTCTCCCCTGGGAAGTTCCCAAGACTCGGCCCCGAGCAAGGGTGTCCCCTTGGGAAAAACAGCTTTCATCTAGGTCAGAGGTGTCCTCCTCATGGAAGCGGTGATTGAATCGAGGCTGCAAATTCAGTGTGCAGCATGTTGCAGGGACAAGGTAAGCCTGTGGGGTATACTCTTACCTGTGTGCCGTGGCCCGACTCGTATATATATATATCGTATATATTTTATATTTTTGCTCATATAATTTTGCATATTTATAGCATCACATTAAATACAATGCACATTTTTTTAGCTAATATCTAAGTATGTTTCCATATTTTTCACTAGATATATATTTGCAATGTTACTAAAAAGAAGATCATTTGTACTTGGTTTCTACAGTAACACTAGTTGTTTTAAAACTGTTATTGCTCAAATTGGAGAACAATATTTTGGTTCTTTCTTTCAATTAATAGCTGGCACGTAAAAATTGCTCTTGACATTAAGAAAAAACAGAGGTGCAAAGTAGTGCCTCAAAATAATGTAGAAAAAATAGATTTAGGTAAAAGTAATTTAATTTAAAGAGAATCTACTGGCTTCTTTGGTATGGTTTTAGCAAAAATATAGTACATAATACATTTTAAGGTGGAGTGAACACACCAAATGGTATAGGTCAATGAGGATTCATGCTCTCATAAAGTATAGCATGTAATATGGATTAATGAACACTCATAGTGCTTTGCAAGTCCTTGTAGGCTTATGCAAACTCACACTCAGCAAAGTAGGCTGTACAGCCTTAACATAGGATGCCATTAAATCTTCAATACACAGCCAAAAACTTAAAAGTCATAAATACATATAATACTGGAATATTTTAAATATCCGAAGCAGATAGTGTGCATGCAGCAACAAAAACATGGAAAAGGTGCTATGAAAGCTAATAAAACTAGGTCCAATGATGCAGTGCTGCAATCTATGCCCTGATAAGTTATTAATATATAGGCTCCCCAAACAGTGCCCATAAATGGATAGCTAAGTCTTATTTATCGATTGTAACCTTTATTTTGTAAATGTTACCTTTATTGACCTCTCTATAGTAGCTCTATTTAAGGAGGTATATGGGAGCACAGAGGGAGTTTCATTTATTTTACAACCTAGTCAGTTATGATACCTGTTCATGGAAAAATAGGGATAAAGCTATACAGGCAATTGTAATCTCTTGTTGATAGCCACCCTATTTGTAGCACATTGCAATTACTCAGTAACAACAGAATAACATTGTTATTTTAACCCTAACCTGGAGGTGCATTGATTAAGCATTGGTTATTAGGGATTATATAATCATAATACAAAACCTATTTATTCTACTACGATTAAATTGTAGCATATTGAGCTCTTTTCCCAACATTTCAATTTAGATAACAAGCTGCTACAATGCAAGGCATGTTTCATTCAATCAACACATCTATATATGTCCTACAACTTACCTTTGTTGTTTTCACTTTAGTACCTGAGGCACAACTCCATCCCTTTTGATCAGGTAGAACTTTACATTCTTCTCCTTCAAGACACGGCTGCATCTGACACCACCATTTCTGTTCCACAATAGATGCTGAAAGACCAAAGATACAAGTATACATTATCTTTCACTTTTTGTTTACAGCCGAATAATCATTGAGAGATGTATTCTACTACTGAATGGGCATTTAAACAGGTCAACTGTGCATGGGTGAGGATTCTTGCAGATTGAGTCAAATATCTAACCTTTTATACGGTGAATAAGTGAAGGCTTAATTCTTTTTTAAATCTTTATTTTTGTAATTACACAAGAAGCCAATACTATTGTAGAGACCTAATGTCAGGAAAGTCCAGCTGGTGTTCCTAGTAAAACTGCCGCACGGATCGCTGCACATGCTTTTGCTCTTTTTTTTAAGCATATAAATCTTTATTAAATTTTCCATAACCAATAATGGCACAATGTACATATAAGAAATAACATCTGCACACATGGCATATAGCAACAAGGAGATGTCATCTATAGGTATTACATTGACCATTGACAATACATAACCAAGAATGACATTATCCCCTGTATTCATTCACTGGGAAAAAAAACACGTCATGTAATGCATCGATAATTCCCGAAGGAAATATGAACCAAAATTCGAAAGAGGAAGAAGGATATATGTGAAAAATAAGAAAAGATAGGTGCCAGGGGAGGTATGAAAAAAGAAAGGAGAAAGAAAATAAAAATAAAAAGGGGGTGTGATCATAGGTATACCCTATGGGGGTATGGATTGCCGGATTCGATGAGATTCTAAAGGGACAGAAAACATTTTTGATGAAAGATGAATGACATAGTGTGGAATGTCAAAGGTCAGATGTATGTAACTATTACGAATGTATACTTCAGGGGTGGTCAATCACTGCTGAAGGTGCACTATATGTGTTCCGCGGTACCTACTGATGAGAAGTCAGGTCTCATAATACATCAAGAGCTCCAAGGGAGCCATCTAACTTGGCCATGAGATACCAGTGGGTGTATTGAAAAGCAGACATGATATCCTTAAGTTGATCCCGGGACAGTTCAGAGACTAAGTATTCGGACCATGTGGCAAAGAATTTTCCCGTGCGTATCTGGTTAAATTTGGTGTCCAATTTTTCAATAAGCATGAGTCGAAAAAGAATGTCGCGTATGTCCGATATGGATGGGGTGGTATTTAGAAGCCAATTTTTTAGGATAGCCTTTTTGGTTGCCAGGAGACAAAAATGTTCCCACAGGGATATGATGGGATCCGCAACATGGAAAAGGCACAGAGCGGGTTGTGGGTCCCTGCTCCCTTGAGAAATGGAGTTCATGTAAGTTAGCAACTGGGACCACAGTGTTTGAATAGAGGGGCAGTCCAGGGGTAAATGATTAAGATCTGGGCGATGGGCTGCACACTTAGGACAATTGGTTAGCCAGCCAGTATCCGAGGACGAGGGAGTGAAGTTAAAAGCATAATACGCTCTATGGATTATTTTAAATTGGAGTTCCCTCCAAGTTTCGCAGACCACTGTCTTGCACACCCTCCTCCATCCCTGGAGGAGATTATCATATGTGTCCTCTAAACTGAGTCCTAATAAAGAGGCCCACGGTCGGACAAAGGTTGGGAATGGGTGGCTTGTGAACTGTAGGCCGTTGTTACGGATAAGCTGTTGAATATCGGATAGGGACATCCTAGAGGAAGGGGAGGTCAATAGCCGATTAAATGTTAGCATGGAAGTATTAGCAGCAGGAGGAGAAAGATGCTTGGCAATGAAACTAGAAATTTGTTTGTACTGTAAGAAATGTTGTTGTAGTATGTTGCGGATTCTGGAAAGTTCGCTCTGGGACATGCAGGAGCCTTGAGGGGAGAGTAGGTCATGTATGGAATGAATGCCCATGCGTTTCCAAATGTGAAATGCTTTTGAATCCCTACCCGGAGGGAACACTGGAGATGAGGTAATATGCATCCAGGGTGATACTACTCCCTTTAGTCCCACAATTTTTTTCACCTCCCGCCAAGTGATGATGGTGTCTTTAAGTAGGGTGTTTCAAGTGTGGGGGGAGCGATTGTAACGGAGTGTGAAGTAAACCAGCAAGAGACCATGGGGATGCTAGTTGGGCCTCTAGGTTAATTATTGGTATAGAAGGAGGTCCCGTGTATCCAGTCTCTCACGTAACGGAAGTTGCTGGCTAAATTATAATATCATATGTTGGGTAAGTTCGCCCCCAACTCAGATTTAGGTAATTGGAGTTTCCTACGGGCGATTCTTGACTTCTTACCTCTCCAGATGAACCTGGAGAAAGCCGTATTGAGCATGCGTATGTCACTGTGTTTAAGAAGTCGGGGTAGGGTCTGTATCGGGTAAAGAAGGCGAGCAAAGCTCACCATTTTGATTAAATGACATCTACCCAACATTGACAGTGGGAGATTTTGCCATGCAGCCAATTCAGCAATAATTTTTTTGAGAATGGGGGAGTAGTTAAGATTGTATAGGTCCGTAAGAGTGCGAGGAATACGAATTCCCAAGTATGTCAAACAGTGGTTTCTAATTTGTAGTTTATGAGTAGGGGCCCAAGACTTCGCCTCAGTCGCGGCTGCCTTGGAGAAGAACAAAAGTTCACTCTTGTCAAAGTTTATTCGAAGGCCGGAGAACGTGCCATATTGTTGGATATGATGGATTAATCCCGGAATTTGTTGTTTGGGTTCTGACAGTATAAGTAAGATGTCATCTGCAAATAACATAGATTTGATGTCTGTGTCTCCAATATGTAGGCCTGTGTACAGTTGGGGGGAGGAGAAGGATAAGGAGAGTGGTTCAATTGCTAGGTTAAATAACAGGGGAGAAAGTGGGCAACCCTGTCGAGTACCTTTATGGAGGGGGAAGGGTGATGAAAGGTGCGTGGAGGTGTAAATTTGTGCTTTAGGGGATGAGTAAATCTTGGCGATAAAATGTAGGAACTGCCCCGAGATTACCACCCGACGAAGGACCATGAATAGCCACTGCCAATTCACACTGTCAAAGGCCTTCTCCGCATCCAATGCCAACAGCGCTGCCGGAGACGGAGAAGACCGATGACCATGCAATCGTATGTGCTCCAGAGCCAGCAGTGTCTTGCGGATATTCAATGTGGCCGAATGGCCTGATACAAACCCCGCCTGATTGGGAGAAATTAGTTTAGGCAGTATGCAAGACAACCTGTTAGCCATGACCTTAGACAGAAACTTCGCATCTTGGTTTAGTAGGGAGATAGGATGGTAGGATCCTGGGAACAATGGATCCTTATCTTTCTTAGGTAGCAAACGTATATATGCGTCATGAAAAGTCTTGGGATATTGGTCACATTTCAATATATGATTATACAATGTAAGAAGGTGAGGAGAAACCTCCTCTGAGAGTATCTTAAAGAATTCAGAAGATAGACCGTCAGGCCCCAGCGCCTTGGAGAGGGGGGCTTGTTTAATTATAGTTTGGAGTTCCAACAGAGTGATATCAGAGTTGAGCATTGCCAAGTCATCGCTGGATAGGGATGGCAGGGACATCGAGCCCAGGAACGACTCTGCACCTCGCGAATTACCTTGGTCAGCCTTATATAGGTTCTGGTAATAGGTGCTGAATATTTCCGCTATCTTTCCGGGATCTGTGTGAATCCTGACCTCCGTATCAGCAAGATGGAGCACGTGAGAAATCGGATTTGGGCCCCTCACCAAATTCGCCATAAGCCTGCCAGCTTTGTTCCAGAACTTAAACAGCTCCACTTCCTTTATAGATCTTATTTGTTGGTCATATTGTTCGACCCAATGATCACACTGCTGCTTGGCTTGTAGCCAGTGAAGCCTGTCTTGTGGGGTCAATGAGGTTTTATATGTAAGGTAGGCCTCCCTGGCTAGAGCGCATGCAGCCGTGTATCTTTGTTTAGTAAACCTTTTGCGTCTAGTAACGAATGCCAGGATCCTACCAAGGAGAACAGCCTTAGCTGTCTCCCAAAATAGAGCAGGGTCATCAAGATGTACAGAGTTATGTTCATAATATTCATGCCACCAGGATTTGAGGTGTTCTTTGAACGAGTCATCTTGTAGAAGATAGGCGGGAAATCTCCAGGTGATGGGTCTGGAAGGTATATCAAGGTTGCGGATGGAGATGGATACTGGAGAATGATCCGATATGAGCATGGCTTCAATCGTGACTGCTTGGATGTTGGGCAACAAAGATGGGGATACCAAACAGAGATCAATGCGGGAGAGGACATTATGTGCCGTTGAAAAAAATGTAAAATCTCTTTCCAAGGGATGTAGGAATCTCCACGCATCAACTAAACTGCTGGCCTGTAAAAAGGTATCCATATGTTTGTCTTGGGCACTGACGCCTCGTTTGGTGGTGCTGGATTCTCCCATCCGATCCTCCCCGGGTGAGGGGACTGCGTTAAAGTCTCCTGCAATCAGGGTTCGGTGATTCGAGGGGTTCCTGACGATGGAGTCCAGTAATTGAGTATAGAAGGGTTGGCTGTCAGAATTGGGAGCATATGCATTCCATAAGTCCAGTGAGCTGTTTCCCACATCCAGTGTGATCCGAGACCACCGACCTTCCTGCAGGTCTGCTATGTGATGAGATACTGTGTGTGGTAGGGATTTATGTATTAAAGTAAGGACTCCAGCAGATCGGCCTTTCGCGGGGGCTCCTATTACTGTGCCAACCCATAATCGCTTCATCCTAAAGAAGTCGTCTGAGTGTAGATGGGTTTCCTGAAGAAGAGCAATATCTGCTCCAAGTTTTTTAAGGTGACGAAGGATCCGTGACCGTTTTTGTGGTGACCTGAGACCTTTAAAATTCCATGTCACTATCTTCAAGGGGGATCCCATGAGAGAATTACGTGAATTAGATGAAAAGGATCTTGTATTAGCGAGAGTAGATAATGGAGGCAAGCGAGCGTCCCAGTACTCCCGCCACTCCAGGTCCTGGATGTCCCATACCATAGGTACGAAGTCTTGCAGTTCGTAATGTAGACAAAACAATCCGGATGGGGGGGGAGGGCCCCGTGCTGATCCTCCCATTGCAGTAGGTGTGATCACACTCCAGAAAAGGGTA